CAAGCGTCCAATGGTCACTCCAACGCCTTGCTCATCATCTCTAAGGCCCTCAAGGGTCTTGGGCCATGTTGATTGGGACCTAGGGTTTCTAATTCTGTTGTTCGAGGCCTCTCTGGTGTGATTTTGGGCAAAATCACACCATAGGTGTTACGATTTGTGAGGTTACAACAGGTTCTTTTGATTTCTATTTGGGTTTCCTTTGAAACCCTAACTCTCTTCTGAATCTCTCAAATCCGTGTTATTTTCATGCTTTAAGCCTGTTTCCTTCTATGATTTGCTTATTCTCGAGCTTTCCTCTGAAAGATCCTCTACTCTAAATCGTTTTTACTTTCGTTGAAAACTAGGGTTTTTTCGGAGTTCTTTCTACACCTGTTTTAACCGATTTCCTTATGGTTAAACCTTTTTCCCTTGTTTATTTTGACCGATTTTATGTTCCTACTACTTTTTAACTTGACTTTGTTAAAAGCCCTAATTTTTAAAAGATTTTCATTACTTCGTTTCTATGTGTGCTAGCATGATTTTCTCTACTTCTTTTCTGTGTGTTAGCATGATTTTCTTTACTTCGCTTTTGTGTGTTAGCTTGTTTACCTGATTCTTGTTAATCTCTTGTGGTCCCCCATGCTTCGAATATGTTCTGCTGAATCTTTAGCCTACTTATATCATCCCTATATGATTGTGTTTACTCATCTCTTATTTTTTCTTGTCTATATAACTGACCGTGTTTGTTTGCTACTCCTGTTCATTTATCTCTATTTATATGGTGAAATATACAGAATCATGACTCCCCATGATTGATTCTGATTTTCCTTAATTGATGGTGATTGAAAGATCTTCTTTTATAGCCCTAAAAGCTTTACCTCGTTTGTTTAAATTAACTAACTTCATTACCTTATTTACTATGGTACTTTGTTTACTTAGTCTTTCCTTAATTGGGTTTTTTCTGAATTTGATCCTAATTGACTACTCTATGCCTACTGAACCTTGACTCTTTCCTTATTTAATCATGCACTGATTCTTCTTCCTGCTTTATATGTTACTGAATCTTTCCGTTTGATTTTAATTCCCTTAACTTAAGGAAGTACTTCCTTGATTCTCCGATTGATTGATTCTGAGTTCTTAAATTAGTATACTACTATGATTTTTACCTTATTCTACTACCTATTTTCAACAATAAATACTCTAAGTCTTTCACAAACAAGGCACCGACACTTAGCTTTCAAAAACTCCTCTCTTCTAAAAATCTCTGTTTCTCTTTCTTCCTTGTGTTATTTGCTACTATTAGCCGGCTGCAAGCCAAGGCTAATCATCTGTACCCTTTGATTATTTCATTTTGCTTGCTTCTATCTTCACTGGTATGTCCTAGTTTAACTTAAAGCCTCAACAAAAACATGTTTCTCTTCTTGTTTCAGTTTCTTTTATTTCTTGCCTGCTTTTACTTGTGGTTCTGTTGTGAAGTTTGTAGTTAGGCTATATTATCAGCATGCTAGTATGACTCCCCTCCCTTTTAATTTATGTATTCCCTTGTGTGATTCTCTTTACTTGCTGTGTGTTTACCATTCTTATGAATCCCAAATCCCTATCCCCTCTATGAGTCTATGTTTTTCCTGATTGGTTTGTGATTATGCCAGTTTCAACTATTTCTGAGCATGTCCAAAACCAGTCCAAATACCCTTGCTGGGGTTATGTGTTTGCAGTCAAGTGCCTGTGCATTCCCAAACCCTTGGCCCCTGTGTGACTACTGAGTTCAGTTGGACTCTGTGACTACTGAAGTACTTGACTCTGTGTATCACTACAACTTTTTTCAGACAACCTCTATTACCTTATTAATTGCTTTCATAAACAGACTTTTAAGTTCAGTCTTTAATAAATTTCTTTCAATCTGTGTCCTGCACTCCCACTTCATTCTTAGTTAATAAGTTCTGCCCCCTCTAGTATGTGTACTGCCTTGGGATCCTCTTGAGAACCCTCTGAACTCTGGCATACTGAGGCTGGCCTTTTCACACTGCACTGTTTCAATGCTTGGCTACTAAGTCTAGGTGTAAGCATTGACCGGGGTCCTTGAGACCCTTAGGGAACTTTGATGCACCTAGACTCGGATTTGTCTATGGAAATGAGGCTTGAAAGACCATTGGAGGCTTCTGGGAAACTTGGGCCTAATTGCAGGCTCTCTATAGAATAGCTTCTTGATTTTCTATTTTTACTTATGTAATTCATTGATTGGTCTGTAATAATTTGTAAACAGAAATTTGGGGGTACTTAGTGAAAATGGGTGGGTAGATGTATACTTTGTGGGGTAACATGGGTAGAAATCCTGCTCTTAGGATCTTACTTTTAAAAATCTGCCTGCTTGACTCAATAGAAAACATGCTCATAGGGGTTTACTCTTTTTTAAACCTGATTGCTTTGCCTAATAGAAATCATGCCTATAGGATTTCACTATTAATGTCGTTTGCATCATAATAGAAGTCATGCCTATAGGATTTCACTATTAATGTCGTTTGCATCATAACAGAAATCATGCCTATAAGGACTTCATTTCCGGTGTCGTTTGCATCAAACAGGAATCTCGTTCTTAAGATTTTGCATTTTCGTCATGTTAGAAATCATGTTCATAGGGCCTCAAACAACCGTTTCTTTAATCATTTCAAATATAGACATCATGCCTGTAGGGATTGCCATCTGCAAATACGTCTAGTACTCTAAATAGCCTAATGAGTCAATTTCATTTTCGTCTAGTTTACTTCTTAAAACTGGCCTTATTAAGTGATGACATTTCCTGAAACTAGTTCTTTCAAATTCGGCTTAACCTCATTAGATATCCTGCTTACAGGTGTCAAAAAGGGTCTATTTAGAAAACTTGTTTGTCTCTGCATTAATATATGTACACAGTACTGCACATTGGCAAGCCTTAGGGTATTTTTCAAAACCTGCATTTCCCTGAAGTTGTTTCCATCGTTCAACATTTCTGATTCTAATAAGCTGTTTAAAAGGAGTCACTAGGCAACTATTAGGTCATAACTTCTGAATCTGAAAGTGGTCTATTTGTGCATAATCGCTTAGAAATCCTGCTTTAGGACTTTGATTAATAAAGACCTTAACTGTGTTTGAGTCGTGCTGCTCGTATGTTTGTTTGAGAAGGAAATTGTGAGCCTCTTAATTGCTCCCATTATGTGAAAGTCCTAAATATTTTTGACTGTCGCCTTAGATTTTTGCCTTTAAAACCTTAGGGGTACGTCTAGAACCACCCATAGGTAGAGGTCCTAACACCCTCCGGGACCGTTAAGAGGAGGGGGGTAGCAGCACGCAATTGGAATTAATGACCAAACACTCGCTTTGCATGACCAATAAAGGGGTGGGAAGGGTAGACATGGATGTGATGACCGGTGCACTAATGCCACGCGTAGCTCCTTTTCAAGGAGTGATTACCGGGCATTGTACTGATGTGATCCTATAGGCTGACCAACCTAGGACCTCCCTCTCCCCAAATCCTCTTTACTTGAGCTTTATTTTCCTTTTATACATGGAACCTGTTTAAATTCTTACTCCCCCCGTTCCAGTTTATGTGAACCTATTTCCTTTTTGGTCCGTTCCAAAAAGAATGAACCCTTTCTAAATTTGGAAATAATTTAGCTTAAATTCTCAATTCTAACCTTAGTAGGAAGCTTTTATAACCACACAAATACTGTGGACCCCTTTTCGAGTTGTTTAGGTCCACAAATTCCAAAAGTCTTTATTTTTTCTTAAACTCCGTGTCCAGTCAAATAGGTTCGCATAAATTGGAACAGAGGGAGTACTTTATTATTTGAGTTATACAATGCCCAACATGCTCTGCTTGCAATTATTTGTTTCAACTGTTTGTTTATTTTGGACTAATTTGTGAATATAAGTTCGGCCAGGACCCACAGTTGTGGACCAAGAGGGGTGCCTAACACCTTCCCCTCGAGGTTACCTCGAGCCCTTACCCTAATCTCTGGTAATACAAACCAACCCAAGAGTTAATTACTCTAGGTGCCCTAATGCACCTTAACTCGTTAGGTGGCGACTCTTCAAATACCCAATTCCCAAAAGGAAATGAGTCATTACATCCCGTGAATGTCGAAACCCGGACTCCTCCCCGCGGAGGAGATGAAAAGGGGGGGCGACAACCTCTATAGTTCTACCACCAGTCCCCTTTTGTCCCCCCAAATAACCTTTCGTGACCCGTAAGACCTCTCTAGTAGCTTCTCTAATGCAATTTTTTGTCGTGGTCCACATCATAGTCGCGTCCCCCTACTCCTCCAGGCCCTCATAGCCAGCAACCTCTCCCTGAACTCCTGAGTTTTGTCCTTAGTCAAGTTACCCCACTTGATCTTAGTTTGCCTGTACGCTGCCCTCTTCCTCCTATTCATCTTGATCTCCTTGCCCATTACCAGGAACCTATGATAGGTCGTGAGGTACTCATTTGGGATGAACTTGCAATCAGTGCATAAACCTCTATCACACTTTCTACAGAGAAGGCAATCAATCTGAATCCTGACCGCGGTACTCTAGAAGGTGACCATGTGCTCCCCCCTCTTCAGAAAACTTGAGTTAGCTATTACTAAATCAAAAGCTCTAGCCAAATTCAATAGTGGGGTACCTCCCTCGTTCCTATCCCCAATATCGAACCTGCCATGCACATCATCATAACCTATAGTAGTAGCCCCAATATGACCATTGAAATTCCCTCCAATGAAAAGCTTCCCGGTGTGCGGGATACATGCATCACCTCATTCAAATCCTCCCAGAATTGCCTCTTGACCTCCTGGTCCAATCCTATCTGAGGAGCATATGCACTAATCATGAGTCAAAATGGGGCATAGAGTATTTGTATGGTTATAAAAACTTAATTATAATTTTAAGCTAAATTATTTTTAAATTTAGAAAGCATTTTAAAATGGGACAAATAAGAAAATAGGTTAATATAAACCGGGCAGTATGACGTTTCAATTAAACAATTTGGCTCTTTTGCGGGACAAGCTGACAGGTCCATCGAGTCGCTCTTTCTCGAAGTAAAAAGGAAAAAGTTCCCCATAAAGAAAGGTAAGCAGTGAGCAGCTTCAGAACAAGTTCGTCGTGGGCGAATTCTCAATCGGCGCCTTCTTCTCGAACCCTACCTTTCTCTTTGAATTTTGATCTTCTCTCATTTACATCATCAGGTCAAATCTTCATTTTCCTCCTTTTCATATTACGCAAGATCTGCTTGAGTGCCATATTCTGTACGTATATGGTCATTCAACGTGTGCTTTTGGAGCCTTTGTGTCAATCGACTTTTTTTTAAAATAAATATTTTGTGCTATTGATTAAACAGTTCTAAGAGATCAAAAGCTGCGATGCTGGGCGTTTTAAGGCGCAAAGTCGTTTCTAGCGCCTCTTCTACTTCGGTAAGAGTCCTGATTTGGCTTTTCTTTTGATATATAATGCTTTCTGTACAATAAGTTGGTGAAATTATTTGATGTGACGAAAAATTTGCTTTTGCTGGGACAGTGTGTAAGGAAATCTCTGCATACGGTTCGACCTGCAGTAACTACATCTAGAATTCCATCTGCCTCAGCAGGAGAGGTAGTAATGCCTATTTATGATTTATTCTTTTTTACTTGTATTTTTCAGCGGATTTTTCCTGTCTTCCGGTAAACATGGATTTCCAGTTCTTATTAGGATACAAAGTCGAATTGTAGTTTTAGGGAAGTAAAATTTTCGTTAGGTTGATTTTGAAATATCTTTTGGCCCAAAAAAAAAGAATAAGAAAAAGAAGAGCTAGTTTCCTAAAGCTCAAGTCAACCTCTTGGTAAGTTGTTAAAATGTTGTTATTTTTAAGATGAGCACATAGTTTAGCCACAATTTTACAATAGTTGATCTTCATTAATTGGTAGTTAATACTATTGGTTAATGAAATGAAACAACAACAACTATGCCTCAGTCCCAAACAAAGTTGGGTCGGCGATATGAATTCTTTCTTTAAGCTCAACTCATATCATAATCAATTGGTAGTTCATACTATTGGTTAATAAAAGTATCATTTTTATTTAGGTACAAGTTATCAAGTTGTTTTTCACATTGTTTTCTTTAGTGTTGTCTATTTTGGATTTTTGATACATTGGTTTCAAAAATTGTGTAAATTTCAGGAATCTAATTCAAATTTTACGATGTCAGTACTCTAATCATATCTATTATTGAGATTGCCTGTGGTTTTTTCTTACCCTCTCCTTATACAATGTGTTAGTACTAGCCCTTCTCGCTATGATTGCTTCTAAAACATTATGCTCTGACTTAGTATGCTTTTCAGATTCCATGACATACTGTCTATGGCAACCCTACTGAGACTTAACCATTCATCAGACATTTATTCCCTCCCCGCCACCCCCCCTCATTATGTTGAACGCGAAGCTTTATGCTATTCGTCTTCCTGCTATTCTATTTCTAATCCCGTTTAAAATTTTGTTGTAACATATTTTGAATACGAGAACAGACATCACTTCTTACTAGACAATTTGGTCATGCGCGGAATTTCAGTCAGCTTGTGCTACCTGGTACGTGTAGTTAATCTATGATTACTGAATACATTCATACTGGCATCATGCTGCTGCTATAATTAACTCCTGCTTCCTAATACAGGGTGCTCATCGAATTTGAGGCCAGAAAGGTTAGTATCTATTACTGCTAATACACCTTGCATTTATTATTTGAAGGCTTAGAGCATGAACAAATGCGAAATGTCCTTCTGAATTAGCCATTCTATATTTCTCTGCATAGTACAAACTTGGTAAAATTCACCATGCCGCTGCTTTTAAATTTGTTATCTGCATTTCTTAGGACCTAGCTTAGTATTTTGGAGCTGCTTTTGTGTTTTCATTTGCTCGTTTGAGCAACTTAGAACTGAGGCGCTCCAAATAATTACCGTGTTATCCACAAGGGAGATGGAGATGGGTAGGCCTCTGTTACTGAATGTGCCTATATTAGAACGACAGTGTGTGCATATCACATAGCTTGATTTTCCAAAAAGAATAACAAATTGAATGACTTACACTATTCTTTATCGCTAACTAAAGACTTACACTATCATACACATTTATAGTCAGAAGACAATATTATAATTGTTGAAGTTTGTGTGATTAATTTCTTTGTTGTCGACAAGTTCATATTTAACATCATGTATTGAAATTGTCTAAAAGCATTTGGGATGTACTAAAGTGATATAATCAATAGTGTCATACATGTTGGGATTAGTATTCACCTGTTTTTATCTGTCTTTCCTTCTCTTTTGCACAAGAACAACTACCTGTCAATCTCAAACAAGTTGGGGTTGGCTCTAATAATTAGCAAAAATATGAGACTTGGTGAGTGTTAACTATCTCTCTCTCTATATATATGTGTGTGTGTGTGTGTGTCCAGTTGGTTTATATGAATTAGTACATTGCCTGCAGGGGAGCTGTTATCAATCTTTGGTCAAGTCCAACACTACCGAATTGGAGCAGGCCATTCTGTGCAAATAATGGTATATTTCTATAGTAATTAAGCTTTGCTGGAATCTCGATACAAATGAAATTAGTCATGCATATGCTTACAATGTATATGATATCGTTCAAAAATGTCATATCATCTCTTGGTATTGTTCCTGCAATTGACCATGGCTCCATCTCCTCTGTTCTTTAGTGTTTTTGAGCATTTTCAGTTATCAGTTGGATACCTTGAAGTTAGTTGTACCTTCTCTCCTGAATGAATATCATCTCCACAACTTTTAGTGAAGATACCTTTCCTTTTCTTTTCTGTTTTGGGATTGAGGTCTTAAACAGCGGTACAAGTATTTTATTATTTCCTAGTATTGTGCCGAATTTTTGGCTGTTAGTTATAGACTTATAGTATTTGTATATTTCAATTTGGGAGTTAAAGAAGCATTTGCATTATCTATCCCAGTGTTGTGAAGAGCGTGAAGCGATGAAAAGCAACAACCCCCATTTTGCTTAAAGCGAGAAGCGAAGCGCTCGCTTTTTTCAAGTGAAGCGGAATTTTTAAAAAATATTAAAATAAATTCTTTTAAGACGAAGGGCAGTATACCATTCTGTTAAAAACTGGGCAGCGTAAAAAAAGTGAAAGAAGAACTGGGCAGCATTTCAACGAAGAGGAGAAGACTGAGAAAGAAGAACCTAAGGGAAAAAAAAATTCGCCAGCATTTCGCGGCTATTTGGACGTGAAACAGTGAAAGAAGAAGGAGGAGGAGGAAGAAATAGAAATCACATACCTAGAAAATGTTTCTGTTGGTCGTATGTTGAAGTTGAAAAGTGTACAAGACTTGGAACGCTAGTCGCCTCTTTCTCTGTTGCTGCTGGTCGTATGTTTTAATAAAAGAACACCTTTCTTTTTTAATTAAATAGGTTGGCAGGTGTTTAAAACAGAGAAGCGCTCGCTTTGGTCGCCTCGCTTCACTTCGTCGCTTCTCGCTTTTTAGTGCAAAGCGCACGCTTTTGCCTACCTGAGTCGCTTCATATAGCAGAAGCGGTCATAGGGTCGCCTCGCTTCGCTTCTCGCTTTAAGCGAGGAAGCGACCACTTTTCAAAACACTGATCTATCCGAAGGTACATAATTTGTAAGCAGTTCCAACTCCATGTCAAGTTCTATATCATCTCTAGCAACAAGAATATAATTTCTTTTATCAAAGCAGCATATCGTCATTATGATCGACATCAATATCATTAAGAACTGACCTCATCATCTCCGCCTATAGAAACTATGTAATCCCCCCAAGGTCTGCTTCACAACCAGGGGCAGGCGGCAATAGAAGGCTATTGAATAATTAGAATGCATCAGCTGTGAAAGAATATGTCATGAGAATCAGGTTTTGGGAAGATGGGTTTTATTGAGGTCTTATATGGATATTAAACAGCTGTCAAACATGGGTTTTATTCTTGGCAATGAAAGAAAAATTAGGTTTTGGGAAGATGCATGGCTGGGTCATACGCCACTAAAAGACCAATTTTTAGATTTTTACAATCTATCCTTGCGTCTCAATGGGGCAATTGCAGATTTCTGTACATCGCAAGGCTGGAATTTGAGTCTTAGAAGGCACATTAATGATTGGGAAATGGAGAGGATAGGTCTCTTGCTACAAATGCTAAGCAACACTGTTTTGGACCACACCAAAATGGACTCTATCAGTTGGAAGGGTCACTCCAAGGGCATTTTCAGTTAAAAGCTGTTATAATATGCTGGTTTTAGCAACAGTGAGTTATGGCCTTGGAAAAAATATGGTACAACAGGGCACCTTTAAAGGTCTCTTGCTTCTGTTGGATTGTGGCTAAGGAGGCATGCCTCACAGAAAACAATCTCCTCTTCAATCTCCAGAAAAGGGGTTTCAAGCTGTGCAGTAGTTGTCCTTTATGTGAAGAACAATCTGAAGAAGTCACCCACCTTTTCTTGCATTGCAGGGTTATAAGCCAGTAATGGAACATGTTTTTTTCAATATTTGGTATGTCTTGGACCATGCCTAACTCCATTACAGAAATGCTGAAGTACTGGAGGGAGGGTCTATGCAAGCAAGCTCAAAAGACCTGGAACACTGTTCCTCAAGTTATCTGGTGGTTTGTCTGGCTTGAAAAAAGAAACAGTAGAATTTTTGAAGGCAAAAGAAGAAATATACACTGCCTTAAACTTTAATTGCATTTTGTTGATCGCTTTTTGGTGCAAACTAGTTTTTGTACCAGATGTAGATGATATTTTAGACGCAATTGCTGATTTGCACAACCTGTAATTACACCTGTTGCACTGGCTTAGTGCAAATATATATGTAATATATTATTTACCCAAAAAAAAAAAAGAAAGAATATGTCATGAGAAGTTAATTCATTAAGTTTATTGACCCTTTCTTATAACTTAGAATCTGGTGGAGTAGAATTAAGAACTGGTAGGCAATTTGTGCTTGGTTTATAATTTGAACGATGGGGGAATATCTAAGATGCATTCTGAAATCCGCTGGATGCTTCCATCTTTTAAATTGTTTTTTCATTTGCTTTCTCCTCTTGTATGTCAAACCTTATCCCTTCTTCTGTATTGGTATAGTTTCTCACATTGCTTTTATTTGCTTCTCTATAATTGTATTGAAGGTGACCAGGTTGATGCTGTTGTTCCTTTTATGGGTGAATCCATAAGTGATGGGACACTGGCCAAGTTCCTGAAGAGTATGTGTTTGTTGATATTGTCCCTGATCTATCTTCAGTCCGGTGGTATTCGTTAATTCTCTGAACTGTCTTTCCTCTTTCCTTCTCTTTGAGTAGATCCTGGTGATAGAGTAGAAGTGGATGAGCCAATTGCTCAGATTGAAACGGATAAGGTACATAGCTTGAAATGCCACCTAGTTGATTTTAGTCTAACCTTTTTCTTAGGTCTCTGTGGAGATTAATGGCTTATATATGAATGATTTTTACTTGGCAGGTAACCATCGATGTCACCAGTCCTGAAGCTGGTGTAATCCAAAAGGTAGAACATCTTTAGCATTGGAACTCTGCTCTACCCCCCCCCCCCCCCTCCCCAAGTTTATTTTGCTTGTGTTTGGGTCAATGGCTTCTGAATCTGTTTCTGAATATCTGTAGTTTGTAGCCAAGGAAGGGGACACTGTTGAACCAGGCTATAAAGTTGCTATCATTTCAAAATCTGGTGAGGGTGTGGAACATGTTCCTGCATCTGAGAAGCCATCTGAAAAAGCAGCTCCTCAGCCATCCCCTCCAGCTGAAGATAAGAAAGAGGAGAAGGCAAAACCTCAAGTTGAGACTACTCCTGTTAAGGAAAAGCCGAAGGAGAGTTCACCTCCACCCCCTAAACGCTCTCCTACAGAACTCCAACTTCCCCCCAGAGAACGGGAAAGACGAGTGAGTCAACAATTGATGCTGTTGTAATCTCATTGTCATGGCAATACTTGTTTATGCATCCTTCGCAATTACTACGTGTAACTTTAGAATTCTGTTTTGATGACAGGTTCCCATGACTAGGCTCAGAAAAAGAGTTGCCACGCGTTTGAAAGATTCTCAGAACACATTTGCAATGCTGACGACGTTCAATGAAGTTGATATGTAAGTTTGGACAGTGATTTGGTATTAAACAGATCATCTTTTCTGTGCTAATATTTCTGCATCTTATCAAACGAAGATTAAACCTGAATATTAACAGACGTGCCAAGTCAGCAGAAAATTGATCAAGTTTGGTTTGGAAGATTTAGATCTTGATGTTAATATTTTCTTGAATTTATATACAGCACTTCAACCAATAAAAAAGAAGTTTTTAAAACAGCAACTGAAATTTGTAAGTTTATAACTTCTGTTTCTTTTTTTTGTTCTTCTGACACAGGAGAGGTGTAGTGGGCATTTATCATAGGTATTGAAATGTTTGTTTTGCATCTGTGATGAGCTTACTTTCTTCATTGGTTCTCTTTCAGGACAAATTTAATGAAGCTCCGCACGGATTACAAAGATGCCTTTGTTGAAAAGCATGGAGTGAAGTTAGGATTCATGTCTGGATTTGTGAAAGTACGAATAGGAAAGGCTGTTTTCTATTAATTTGTATATTTCTTGTGAAACTCTGGCCTAAAATGCTTATACATATTTCAGGCAGCAGTTAGCGCACTCCAGAGTCAGCCAATAGTTAATGCAGTTATTGATGGCGATGACATCATATATAGGGATTATATAGACATCAGTATTGCTGTTGGTACCCCAAAGGCAAGCTAAACCTTTCTTTGCCTCAAAGTTTTAGATTACATGGAAACTTCTTGCAGAATTCCTAATCAGTCTCATTTTGTCCTTCAAACTCCTCTCTTTTTGGTTCTACTTTTGAGTGTTCTGGCCACTGTTTTTCTCCATGCTCAGGGTCTTGTTGTACCAGTTCTCCGCAATGCTGAGCAGATGAATTTTACTGAGATAGAGAAGACAATAAACGGGCTTGCTAAGAAGGCAAATGATGGAAGCCTATCCATTGACGAGATGGCTGGAGGTTCGTTCACAATATCAAATGGTGGAGTCTATGGAAGTCTTCTCAGTACCCCTATCATAAATCCTCCTCAGGTATGTGTCTTTGTGCAACATAGGAAGTGGTTGCAATTGCCCTGTCAACCTATCTCACAATCGAAAATTTGCTGGTTGATTTTGTAGTCTGCTATCTTGGGAATGCATTCAATAGTCAGTCGCCCAATGGTTGTTGGAGGCAACATTGTTCCAAGACCAATGATGTACATTGCTCTGACATATGATCATAGGCTGATTGACGGAAGAGAGGCAGTGTTCTTTCTGAGAAGAATCAAGGATGTGGTGGAAGATCCCCGTCGGTTGCTCCTTGATGTTTGAAGAGGCAACAACCTCTGGCTTTTTTATTTTACGTGAGTGTACACTCAATCTAAGAACCAGAATAAATGGCGATGGCAAAGTTTTGTAGGCCTTGGATGTTGCTTTAGTCCTGATTATTTACTTAGTTGCAGCAAACTATGCTTGAGATTTGCAGAGCCGTAAAGATCTTGCGTTCCCCTGAGGTTCACCAACCATGCTTATTTTTTGTTTATATATATTATTATACCAACTTTAATTGTATTCGAATTGGGGTCTTTTTGCGTTTCTGCCCTACAGCTCTTTGGCTTCAGTGTTTTCTTCTGCATTGGAATTAATTCACGTTTGAAAATTCATTCTTTGTTGGCCACACTATTTGAAAATTCATCCTTTGTTGCATATGTTCTTCATGCCATAAGGCACTTATAGTGTTCTAAGCAACTAGTATTCATATCTGCGCGTAGGGGTGTACATGGACCGGGTTGGTTCGGGTTTTATCAATACAAAACCAAACCAACTATATCGTTTTGGATTGGTTCGGTTTTGTCCGATTTTTCAGGTTTTTCGGGTTTTTTGTTACTTAAATATTATTTTAATCTTACTTTGTTAAATTTTTGATAAGTAAATATATGTTTAGTAAAAATATAAAAAATTGACAAATATATTATCTATTAAAATATTTTTATGAGAATTTTCTTAGTAACACATAATAGTTATTTTTTTAGTCATCTGACAATAATGTTTCATTGATGCACACTTTCAAGGTTAATCGATTTTAGTAATTAAACATAAAAATCAATATGATACCTAAATAATAATGATCACTTCACATCCGAAAAGATATAACAATTTAATAGATCTTAACATATGATATGAATATGGAAGAACAAAGAGATTGACGCATTTCAGTAATACTTGATGGGAAAGTGATCATACAATCCATTATTTAAGGTTAATAAATATGGAGCACTTCATATACTATTAAATATTATATCCCGCAAGAGAACCCCAAATATTTCTAGACATTTTTTAAAGAAAATTCTATATAAAATCTTAAAAGTATATATATAAATTATATATTTATATGTCGGTTTGGTTCGGTTTTTTTACTCAATACCAANCCAAATCAAACCAAACCTAGTCGGGTTTTTAATCGGTTTGGTTTGACTTTTCGATTTGGTGCGGTTTTCCGGTTCGGTTTGTACACCCTGCGCGTTGCGTGGAAAATATTTAATATAAGTTTTCACAAGAAAATATTACTTGAAAAATATGATACACACAAAGAAGCATGTAAGTGATATTATTATTTTATGAACATGTAAATGCACTGAATATTCATACATTCAAGTCTATTCAAATCTTACTATTTTTTCTTGAATTACAATTTAATTATTTAAGTACTTGAAGAAATTGAAAAAAAAATCAGGATAAAGTTTGCATTTAAAATATTTAAAAATATTTAAATCTTTTTATTTTTTTCATGAAATAGTAGATAATTTAATAAGTATTATATAAACCCGTCAATTGATAAATATTAGTGTAACAATATAAAAACATATCAATATTAATATAATTAATAGGTTGAAAAGTTGCCTTTTTCTAGTTGATATATATCCCTTGGAGAACATTTTGGCCATCCAAGAAACCTAGCTATGGTGCACAATTTCATTTGTATATTGTTCGTATTGATTATCATCGTTTTGTGAGGATACTAAAATGTGCTGGCATAGTTTGGATCAGATAGAAATTTTCAGAGTAATAAAATTTTAATTAAGAAGACGTTGTGATGGAGTTAAGGGAAATAGTTCTTTTTTTAAAGATATGGGTTTCGGGGTTAGGTATTTTCTAGAAATAAGATTAATTACTTATCTTTTTAAATTTAAATGTTAAATTAATTTTTTAGGCATTTTGCCGCTTCGATAATTTTGCAGATTTTTGTGTTTATAGTTACAAAATTGCATCTAACTTTCACATAAATTAGCAATAAAAATCACATAAAAAACGTCCTTATTTGAAATAGAGCTAATTCGCCTTTATTTCCATTTAAAATAGAGTTTATATTGGAGAATAGTCATTTAGTTATTTGCCTAATTTTTAAGAATTTGAGATCAACTAAAATTTATTTATGAACTCTTCCTTATTTGAAGTAGATAGAAAGTCTTAATATTCAGGACTTTAAGTTCTATTAGGACTTTGAATTTGATCATTAAATCTTTTTTTTATTTGAACTAGGCAAAAACTCCTAATATTAAGGAATGAAAAATCAAAATTTTATTTTATATAATTCCCTTCCCTAATATTTTGGACGTTAAAATCTTTCTAAATGCATGTTCCTCTCATCCCGATTTGATTGAATTAGATTTTTACATATTCTTTTTAACTTGTATAATAACAAAGGACTCCCCATATAATTTGCATTGTTAAGGGCCTTCAATTAGAATAAAGATATAAAATTGAACGTTAACCAAATATAGGCACTCTTACGCAAGTTACCCTAATTACATAGATATAACCAAATGAAATGTAGCATAATCATTAAATGATACATAATACTTATATAATTAAATGAGTGTGTGTGTATATATATATATATATATATATATATATATATATATATATATATATATATCCTAAAATAAAAGTATACCCATGTATAAATTAAAAATAGGAAAATAACACATATATAGGAAACACCGAAAGATTATTATTTTTAAAACTTGTGGTTTTTTCTTTAAGTTTTTAATGAAAACTCAAACACGATTTTCAATTTTGAATTTATGTAATTCTTTTAAAGTTCTGTACTCATTAACCTAAGGTATACACGCAACGCGCGTACCCTAAGGACTAGTATAATTAAAAATTACCAAACAAACGTGGGAGAAATATTGATTTTTCTTAATCGTGTGATGACGTATTAATTTTTAAAAATTGGCAGGTTTAATTTTTTATCTTTTATTTTAAAATATTTTGAAACTTTTGCTAGAGTTTTGTCCTAAAATTTAAATTTGACATGTTATATTAATGACACTTGGCAAAAAATTCATCGTAATAATATAAATTTTTTGTCTACTATTCAAAATTCTTTAATTCTCTAGATATTAGCTTATATATCCAATACTAATTGCTAAGTCGCAATCTGAATACTTTATATTTCGATATGATATACTATGTTAGACTTTTAATTCTTAGGGCCTTATTATGCTTCTGTTGCATTTCCTTAATAATGGTCTATTTGCTTGCACGATTGTTTGAATGATCGATGGGAACGAGGAACCATTAAGGCAATTTGCATGAATATTTTTGTAGGAAAGAAGAAAACCCAACTTATAGGCTCAAAACTGAAAATTCGAAATATTCTAATCGATTAATACAAAACTGAACTTTAAATATCCAATCCAATCCAATCCAAGCTTATTTGGATTGAATCTTCAATCCAAAAATAAAAAATCCAAACCGAAATTATCATAATATCCAATTTGACCCCACCCCTACAAATAATAGTGGGTTTAGAATATCTATTTGCTTTTCATGATGCTGAAAGGATGCTTATTTCTTGTTTGAATATATTATTATACCAACTTTAATTGTATTTGAATTGAGACTTTTTGCATTTCTGCCCGTCAGCTCTTTTGCTTCAGTATTTTCTTCCGCATTGGAATTAATACACGTTTGAAAATTCATCCTTAGTTGGCCCCACTATTTGAAAATTCATCCTTTGTTGCATATGTTCTTCATGCCAGGAGGCTATTTAATAGTGTTCTAAGCAATGTGACTTTGCAGTTTACTCTTGTTCACAAAAAGAAAAGGTTGATGGTGCTCTTATATTAATTGCGCCTCTATGGTTGTATGGTAGGAGGAAAACGGAAGATAGTATACAATAAATATATTCCCTGCAGGTTAGCTAATCATATTGGCCTTCAATATTTAAACGCTTGATATGCATCAACAGATGGAAAATAGCCGGTAGCAGCGCGCTTGTCTTCTAGGCTGGCAACTTACGAGGATCAAGATTGATGAATGTCCGATCTTAGCTATGGTTTTAAATGCATAATTCTAAGGCAGTGAAAGAAGAAATAAGGAATAACCCCTGAAGCGACAATATCCTCTGATTTCCTTACCCAAGTGAACATCTGTCTAACTCGCTTTTAACACGTAAAAGATGGAGCTTTACTTTTGCATTTCAGCTCCCTAATAATCTAAGACAAATTCATTTTGTGGGGAATAAACTCATTCTCAAGGGCTCAAGATCAAAAGACAGTACGGCAGTACCTGAGAAATGTATTTTTATTCTAGTTGATACTTTATTCGCTATAGCTATTAATTGGATCGATGACATTGCCTCTCATTTCCAGGATGCAATCAAGAGCTTCTGAATCACTAAGCCTTCTAAGTAACAATCAACCACCATGACATTCTGGACTAACACCCACACAGACATGCTCAAGTAAAACCTGATGTTTCGTTTATACTTTTGCTTAAGGAAGACGTTTACAAAAAAGATAATTATACAATGATAACCTGCTCAAAATTGGCATGAGACTCAGAAAAGTGCAAGATACTGAAAGAGGCTTTCCTTGTAGAGACAATTAATTTTTTTATAGACATCTACTGATAAGGATTGGCAGATCGAGTTGCTGAGGAGCAATATTTTGTTACATTCTAACCTCTATGCCTTCCTTTACCAGGTGCTCTTTCACCGATGGAATGGGAACCTGAAATTCAGGAGACAAATTATACATTCCAGGTCAGTCAGAGATCCATATTACATGTATGTATATTACTCCGTAGCAGGGGTAGGGTGTCTGGATGTAACTTCATAGACTATCTTAAGTGCGGACATGAAAGGGTTTTGATGACACAACCTAAGCAAATATTATCAAAGTGTATTGCTGAAACTAAAAAGTACTGCAAAATATGCAACTTCACTCAATCTTTCCTCGGATGCTTAATAGTCTAAAAGATTTTAGTAGTTGATAAGTGAGATTCCACTAATTACAATGTTTTAAGGTGTAAGCATATGCATTTCATTAAATGCTTATCACTTTTTTTGTATTCAGCTTCCTTTAACACAAGCAATAGATGCATTTCCGGAAGAAATAAAAAGCACTTTTTAAGTGAGGTTAATGATGCTCACAAGCGGCTGATATCTCTTAGATCCATTTTAGAAGATAAAAAACGCCCCTTTAGGTGAGGCTCAAACAGAAGGTATCTGCTTTCTTCGAAAAGGTGCATGGCTTTCAGAGACATTAGCATCCACCTCTCATTGATTATCCAAGATTCACGTGTTTTTTCATCTAACTTCTTTAATCTATCAACATTGTTATCGAGCTAACACCGGTACTGAATATTGAAATAACTTAAAAGGCAGAGAAGAA